TAGCCATGAGATTCATTTTTCACAAAGTAGGCCACATGTTTTCACTTTTAAGGATTTCGGTTTAGATTGCAATGTAAAAAAGTAAGTATATGAATGAATAAAAAAGTGACATGGTGTTTTCGATTTTATCAACAAGGGTGAAACAAGTCTTGCTCATGCCGGTCTTGACGGTTTCCGTACATGGAACTAGAGTTTAGTGAAGCTAGTAATGACCGAACCGACTATATATAGAATACAGCTGAATGCGCAATCTCTTGAGATGCTCATGTGTTTCCACGATTGGTCGAAGCTAGGCCCACTGACAAACTAAAAAATTAAACATAGCATTGTCTCGCCATTTTATGGAGGAAACGACAATCGACTAAGGAAGTGTGAGTTTGAAGATTAAAAAATTCATGTAACCCTTCTCTATTATTATTTAAATATTTTTTAAAAATTACTCCCTCCGTCCCTGAAAGAATTTCCATTTCGCTTTTCGAGAGTCAACTTAAATCACTCTTAAACTCTTACTTTATATATCAAAACTTTATGAAAATTGATTTTTTTTGCAGGCTTTGTAACGGGTTTAATGTAGTTTCTGAATATGTAAATTTTATTTACTAAAAATAATCTGAGTTTTCACAAGGATCATTTAACTTTATTGTTGGTCAAACTTCGTAACCCGCAATGGGAAGAACATTTAGGGACGGAGGTAGTACTTATTTTAACACATAATTATATGTGTTATGTACACTTTCAATTAAGTAGCTTTTTATAATTCAAAATTATGTAACACTTTTAATTGAGTAGCTTTTTTATAATTGCACTAGTTAATATAATGTATCAAATAAAGTTGCCTTTCATTTTAATGTGTATAGTTTTTTTGTTTGTATTAATATGATATTTTTTAATGATACTTTTTAAAAATAAGCCAGAACCTGTTGGGATTGCCTGGATACCCAGAACGGCAGAACCGGACCGGGACCATGTCCATACCTACTTCTGTATGGTTATAATTCCGCCCACGGTCATACAATGCAATGTAATTTTCTTCACGATATATAAAATTGATGCATGATATTGGGTTGTGGGATACGAATATAGTGCCATATAACCCATATTGGGTGTGACTTGGGCAAGTGAAAAGGATAGAAACAGTTGGATCGATGGATAATATTACGGGTGGAATAAACCTCAACCAAACCGGTACCGAACCGTCCCGTAATGGTACCAAATCGAATACCGGGTGTTTAAACGGTTCTATAGATTTTTGTCTCGTACCGAAACCGTACCATTTGAAACGGGTACGGGACCGGTCCTAGATTTTGAGAACCGAAAGATACCTTACCGAACCGTTCGAAAATAATGCATTTGACTTTTTTATATTATTTCTATACCTATAGATCTCTTTTATAGACCAACAAATTTAGAGTCCAAGTATGTATTCATGCGACCCTAAAATAGCTAAATGTGTTTACATATATATATAGAGAAATCATCATGTCAGGCGGCCTGAACGGGAGAACCATCCGGCCGAGCCCTTTTGGCAACCTTCCCGGTGGAATTTTTTGATGAAATTTTTTGAGCATGTTCTTCATCAAGTTTAGTTTGTCCATACCAAATTTCAGCTCAAAATTCAATCCGGAAGGCATTCAAATCGTTTTTTGAAGTTGACTGCGTTTTTATAAGTATATTTTGACGCAGTCAACTTCAAAAAATGATTTGAGTGCCTTCCCGGTTGAATTTTTAGCTGAAATTTGGTATGGATAAACTAGACTTGATGAAAAACATGCTCAAAAAATTTCATCAAAAAATTCCACCGGGAAGGTGCCCAAACGGGCTCGGCCGGACAGAGGTTCCCGTCAGGCCGGCCTGACAAGAAGAGTTCTCTATATATATATGTGTGTATATATATATATATATATATAATATAGGGGTGAGTTCTAATACAAAGAGGTCTTCCCATAAAAAGTGAGAAGTGATCAAAAGTCACGGTTAACCAAAATGTGTAATACATAATAGCAAAAGTGCATATGCACTATGTAATGGTGCACATACAGCTACTAAAAAAATATCAGAAACAATAGCTATACTTCTTATTTTTTTTCTAAAACGTGATGCACTTTTGTGTTAGTCTAATGCACTTTTTCTCCATTGTCAAACTTTTTTTAAAAAACTTTTTGATAATTACACTTTTGGCACCGAATTTTACCCTTAAAAATTGATCTCATCCACTCATTTTCTCCTAACGGCTAAGATTACTTCTCACTTTTCATATGAGGAGTACTTTTTATTTGTACCTCCCTCTCTCTCTCTCTATATATATATATATTGTTATTTTTTCTTTTTGGATAATTTATGTTATATTTTGGTATGTATTGAAAGAATATAAAATTTTTAGAAATCACTAATGACAATTCATTTCTAGTAATGTAGTGTACATGACTTTTTGTTGTATCATGTCTGTGCTATTTTACAACGTAATTAATGTGGTTTAAATTTTAGCTCTCAAGATTCAACTTTAAATTAAATTAGAACTAAGGAGTAATATTTAACCTATAATGAAGAAGAAGAACGTTGAAGATTTCTATTATATATTCAACAATTTGATGATATTACTTTTTATATTTTCACGAACTTATTAAATTAGATATGATATTTATCTCGTGCGACATCGTTTTGCTATACTTTTTCTTAATTGTGTTGCACTATTTGTGATTTTTAGTACTAAGTATACAATTCCTTGTATTTATATCAACATTTCACGTGAGTTGGTTGGTGTGATGATATCTACTAATTGCAAGATTTGTTCAAATTTTTTGGCATGCGTTTGGCATTGTACCGTACCGTTCCGAAATGACATAACACTGAACGGTTCAAGGGGCGGATCTATGCCTATAAGAGTGGGGGCACATGCCCCAATAAGCTTTTAGAAACACGCTATAAATATAGTAGTTTATACAAATTTATTCCTAATAGAAAGAACTTGCCCCCATTAAATTTTTTTCTTTCCCCCATTAATAATTATTTTATGATATGGATGACCGAAGTGTGCATGCTAAATCAACTAAATTGGTTAAAAAAGATATAAAATTTTTATGAATCTTGAGGCAATTAAAATAAGTGAAGGTCATTGGAAAGATAATAAATTTCTGCTTATTGTAATTTTCATTTAAAAAATTAAAATTGGAATATGAATTTTTTGTTAACCTAATATTCATGTGTTATATATCCAAACTACTGTAATTGTATACTTTCTAAGTAAGGATTTTAGTGCTATGAAGTATTAACTATTAGTCTTGACTAAAATAATAAAATAAAAAATTTCGTTGCTGTAGATGGATTCAATAATAATTGATTTTATTTAGGATAAAATAGTTGTGTAATGACAAAAGTGAGTTCATAAAATATAGCCATAACTCCATAAGATAAAAAATAAGTGAAATTGATAATGAAATACTTTAAAAAATACGGATTATAAAAAAAGTTAAGATTGATAGGTAAATGTACGTTAAGTAGAAATAATTTAGCAGAAAAGATATTTTAATATGTTTTTTTTGTAATTGTTAGATTTTAATGACGGGAAAAAAATCTTAAATGAAAAAGCTAGTATTGTTTGATAAAAATTGAATGTATGATTTAGTTCTGTTTGGTATACAAGCTGTTAGGACTAACTAATGTTAAAAGTTACAGACTTTTCACAAATGCTACTCACTGTAGCATTTCAAAAAAGATCTTTCATTTTTGAAAAATCTCTTAAATTTGGCATGTCAAACATATAACTAGATGTTTTTAAAGATTTTTTTAAATAGTACAAAATCTAAAAGGTAGAGTCTTATGCCTACTAGACATGCACTTAGAGTGTAAGTTAGATAAACAGAGCTTCCAATAAATGTATGTGTCCTATGGATTTTGCCACCAATAATGTAACACCGGACCCGAATTTTTACCCAGATAATTTTTTTTTTTCGTAAAGTACTTGGTTAAAGAAGGTAAATCAAGACTAAGAGTAGTCTCGATAAATGAGAAAGTAAAATTTTGTCCTAAATTAATAAAGGGTTATTAATTTAGACGTGGGACCACACGTGGTATTTCAAGTTTATAAAATATTACTATTTTCCAAAACGATACTATTATGATAGTAGGAATGGGTCGTGGACCCCATTGTTATAAAGAGCGACAACTGGACGGCCGAGCGGGCCAGGGCCACTATTCGATAGTGGGGAGTCCTTAATTATCAGACTGTCAATAATTCGTAGGACTACGAATTTATAACAGAAGAAATATAAACATTTTAAGAAACCAAAATAATGGGATGAATAATATTGATTAACTTGGTATATTAAAGGAGGGTACTTTTGGAGGACCCTACCTTAAAGATATTTTATTTTGGGAACAAACAGATAAGATTTTATCTATTTTTACATATGGGATCACTTAAAAAGATGTGTAACATCTTATTAAAATGTCACAAAATATCAATACACATATTGAGTCATGAGAAATTGCTAATGAATTTACGAGATGACGTATTCTCATTTTTACCGTTACTTGAACAGTAAAATGCACGTTGAGCCACACATGGGCGGGGACCATCCGATAATTACGGACCACACATTACATTCATCTTGGTCTAGATAATATTTATATGAGGTTGTAAAAAAATGTTGAGCCATAAAGTTGGCCTTTCGATCAAACGGAGTCCCATTACCGGTATAGGTAATTAAACAGATAACAGCCCGAAATTAATTTCGGCGACCACGAAATTAAAGTGGGATAATATATATTCATTCTAAAGGCCAATATTAATTGGAAGAATGATATATATTTTATTTGACCCGATAAAATAAAATTTAATTAAAACAGTCCAGAAAATACAACTTTCGGGGCCGAATGTACACTTCGGGGCTTAAAGGGATGACCTCCCACATGGGTGGGGGCCACCCCACGATTTTGTCAATCAAATAACTCTGGATTGACTCATGTTGGGGCTGTGAGACAAAGGAAAATGGGGGAAGGACCAAACATAATGTGCAATGGGACCATTTCCCATATAATTGAAGAACAAAGCCAAAAAGATTATCATCTCACCCAACCACTCCCAAAATTTCGGCCACACACTCTCAAGGAGGAGGAGGAGCTCTGAAAATATCATCCTCCATAGCCATGAACCGAGCTCATGTTTGAAGGAGGTTCGAGGAAGAAGAAAAGCTTGGAAAAGAAGAGAAAAACTTAGTAAAATTAAGGTAATGACTTCATTAGTATTTTCCTCCTTCATTTTAATCTCATATGATTTTATAAATCATATGATAGACTTTTAAAATTGTTCTACACTTCTAGAGGTGTAGAATGAGGGTTTGAAAGATTAAGTTTAACCACGAACGGAGTTATGACCGGAGTAAGACCGGTTCACCGGAAAACACCTTCTTGGAAGGTTTTGACGTTTATACCACTTTTGGTTGTGAAACCTTGTTAGGAATTTTACCAAGGTATTCTAGACTTCTCAAGGAACCTAGGAGTGGCCGGAAAGTCGCCGGAGCCGCCGGAGTTTTCGCCGGAAAATTCAAAAGTCACCGGAGTTCAAACAAAGAAGATAAAAGCTTGCTAGCGTCACTTCAAGGTGAGTGGACGACTACGTGTCTTGTAACTCTTGGGTCAAACGTGGGATTACCTAAATAAAATCCTTATCATGATTTGAGAAATGATTAAATGGATTAAAATGCATGATTAGTCATGGTGAATATGAATTATGGAAATATTACATGTTTAATGAATAAGAGATTTATTTGTGGATTAATCATGAATATATCATTGTCAAATGTATAAAAATGCATACATGGACTATGTATGAGGTAACTAGAGTAATCTAGTATGTGAATACGTATAGAAATGTTTAAAAGTGTTTAAACATGTGATTAACTATAATGATTATAAGTTATGTGAAAATGGCACGATTAATGAGTAAAGGAATTATTAATATTTTTGATAAAGGATAATCATGGATGACTTAACTAAGGTAATTCAAGATGGTATTCTTGAAGGATTCAAGTACATAATCATACATGTCATTAAATTAAATCTAGTTATGAAGAATAAACTAGAACGAAATATATAAACGATTAATAAGTATGAAGTACTTATTAATAGTTGTGAGAAGACGGCTTTATGCTTCATAACTTTTGAGTGAGGCATAGATTACCTAATGTAATCAAGAATATATTTTATTGAATGATTAAAGATAATCAAGTATGTGTTATGCCATGATTATATGTAAAATATAGTTGAAATGCATGTTAAGTAAGCTTGATGATTTAAAATGTGATAATTAATTATGTATGATGTTCCAAGGACCCAAAAAGGTATTTTTGGATTGAGGAAGTCAAGAAGTACATGTGTATAAAATTTCACGTAAATCGGACTTCGTTTGTGCGGTCAAACGGGCGTTGACCGCCAAGTCAAAGGCTATACCCGACCGGGTATAAGTAAATACCCGACCGGGTATTAGCTAAAATCAGTTCCAGAGGCTACTGCCTCACCATACCCGACCGGGTATGGGTAATACCCGACCGGGTATTGGGTAATACACCCAATATGCAGTTTTTGAGTAAGTATGTGGGCCGTTCGGGTGGGACCCGTCCACATTGGTTGCTAAGGCTTCAAATACGGTTTAAACACTAAGACTTGGACTAGTCGTTAGTAAAGAAATTATAGACCACGACCGGGCGAGGTGCGTGGTAGATTATACATGGCGGGTGAATACCCGGGACCGAGTAAGGTTGGGTAAAACTCTGTAGGACCAGGAGGAGTCCTTTATACTCAAATGTTAACAAGGGCCCGTGTAGTCCTTGAGGTGTGTTAACCTCCAGCAAACTACACATAGGTAACAAGGGCAAATGCAGTCCTTGAGGTGTGTTAACCTCCATCAAATTGCATATAGGTAACAAGGGCCCGTGTAGTCCTTGAGGTGTGTTAACCTCCAGCAAATTACACATAGGTAACAAGGGCAAATGCAGTCCTTGAGGTGTGTTAACCTCCATCAAATTGCATATAGGTAACAAGGGCCCGTGTAGTCCTTGAGGTGTGTTAACCTCCAGCAAATTACACATAGGTAACAAGGGCAAATGCAGTCCTTGAGGTGTGTTAACCTCCATCAAATTGCATATAGTAACAAGGGCCCGTGTAGTCCTTGAGGTGTGTTAACCTCCAGCAAATTACACATAGGATGAGGGTGTATGCGTACTCCTCAAGGCGGGGTTAGCCCCGGGAATGTAAACTATGATTGTAAGGACGGATAGTCCTCGAGGTAGGTGAACCTCAAGGTAATGATTTTAAATGATTAAACGTGCTTGATCGGGAACGAGTTTCCGATAGGATATTTTCCTTGGTCTAGGAATTGATTTAAGCCATGTTCGTGATATGGGAGTCCGAAGGGCCCCCACAGTAATTATATTTTGATATCGGGTGAGTCAGCCTGCGGGTGACTCCACTCGAGGGTAAGACATGGGAAGAGTGAATTTAATGAGGCTGTTACGCCTAAATGATTTGAAATACAAATGGGCCCACGGGCCGGATATTTTACTCATATGTATATATGTATACATTTTGTTTGAAAGGGGGTAGCTAAGAGTTATGCCCATAATTATACTATCACCCTATTTTGAGGGTCTCACGTGAGAAACGTTAGTTACATTACATACAGTTTGCCCTCACCAGTACTTTTCTGTAGTACTGATCCCTCGGGGGAACCACCCTTTCAGGTTGAAGCTAGAGCTTACTTCCTGCACCCGTTGCTCGGGAGATCGATGGAGAGAAGACGTGGTTCGTGCTTCCTCTCGTTCCATTTTTAAATAATTAAATAATGCTCATGGAACTATTTTGACTTATAAATTAATGGAGCCTGCGAGCTCTTGTTTTACCCTTGTGTGGGTTCTTATTAAAACACTTATATTCCGCTATGTGTTTGATTGTATGTTGATGTTGTTATGTATGTTTACTAATCGGTTTTGGCATATGTATCTATCGGACGTCTTGTGCAATTCGGTAAGGATGAACTGCGGTTATTCTTATTGGGTTGTACGACGGTTGTCCACGTGGCACAGACGCGGTCTGGGGCGTGACAATTAAGTGGTATCAGAGCCATACGATTTCTAAACTATATAGTCAACCTCTCAACAGAGATTCTATCAAAACAATTTTTTAATGAAAACCATGAGCATAAGTTTTGTACTTTAAGAGCATTTGGTTATCGAGTTGCAAGGTCTCTGGTTGTTAAGACGGGCCCCTTAACAATTGGTATGGCAGTGACTTGAGCCAAGTTGTGTCTTGAGTATGTTTCTGTCAATTGACATTCAAACGAGTCCAAAGACTCATTCCAACATATTCTTTCAGGAATGGGTGGTAGCGATAGGGCGGTTCGAGGAAATCCGAGAGGGCGCGCACCGGGGATAGCCGGGCAAGCCAATCGGGGGATATCAAGGTCACGTAAAAGGCGAGGTATGGGCAATCAAGGACCACAAAAGCGAGCTGCGATGGCTGATCACAATGTGACTGAATTCGAGTCGTGGAACTCGGAGGATGACTCAACTTATCAGCCTGAAAGTGAGTCTGAAGAAACTTCTTTTGAAGGAAATGATGGAGAGGATATGCACAGTATTCCTCCTGATCAGATTAGTGAGATGTACCGATGGTACCAGCGGGAAAGGGAAAGGCAACGACGGAGATCCCAGGTGGGACATGTAAGAGACGACACCTCTCGCAGGAGGGGTCGGGGTGTTCATAGAGCACAGGTTAAGACAATCAGAGATTCTGATGGTGAAGGACCATTCATTAAGATCTCAAAGTACCTCAAAGAGGCTAGGGCCTTGGGGTGCAAACCGTTTGATGGGACGGGGGATATCTCGGAAGCGGCCGAGTGGATAAAAAGGTTAAATGATGCAGCCGATGACATGCAAGTGGTCCCTGATCGGAAGTTAAGGGTAGCCACTAGATTGTTGGAAGGTTTAGCTTCTACTTGGTGGGAAGGCATCAAGGGTAAGTTTGACGGGGTTGTCACGTGGGACAACTTCGAGCAATCATTCTATGAACAGTTTTATACCTCTTTCGAAGTTAATCGAAAGAGGAGGGAATATACAAATCTCAAACAGGGCAATGAGTTTACGGTGAAGCAATTGGAACAAAGGTTCCGACATTTGGCAAGGTTCTTGCCTGAATATGCCGCCAATGAGGATCGAATGGCGAACCATTTTTGGAATGCACTGAATTTGGAGGTACGCGAAAGGGCGACCTATCAATTCAACATGACTTTTAGTCAAGTAGTAGCCCAGGGTCTCCAGGGGGAGGAGCTTTGGGAGGAAAGGCAAGCAAGGGGTGCTAAGGAAGCACAAGAAAGGGATCAGATGATCAATCATCCTCTGCGACGAGAGAGGAAGTATGACTTCCAAAGCAAGGGGGACTCTAGCAAGTTAGTTCCATTTTCAAAAGGGAGCAAGGACTGGGTAAGTCAAAGCTCAAGCACTCGGGGCACAGGAGCGCCCAAATGTGAGAATTGTAGGCGGAGGCACCACGGGATATGTCTAGAACCATCTAGATGCTACTTTTGTGGGGAAACGGGCCACATAAAGGCTCTTTGTCCTCAACGTGTACGGGGAGGAGCCTTGGGGGCCCACAGGGGAGTCACGGAGGTTGCAAACCCAACAGGGATTGCTTCAAATGTTTTACCATCCACCAATCGGGGAAGAACTCGCTCGTGAAGGCGATGAATGACAGAAGCCATTTGTGGGAATGACTATGACATAAGGTAATATTTATTTAAACCCTTCATTTCAAAAAAAAAATTGATGTTGAAAATGGTTAGCTTCAATTAATGAAGGGGGAAGTATTTCTCAAGGTTGAGACATTAATTTCGGGGACGAAATTCCTGTAAGGGGGGGTGAACTTGTAACACCGGACCCGAATTTTTACCCAGATAATTTTTTTTTTTCGTAAAGTACTTGGTTAAAGAAGGTAAATCAAGACTAAGAGTAGTCTCGATAAATGAGAAAGTAAAATTTTGTCCTAAATTAATAAAGGGTTATTAATTTAGACGTGGGACCACACGTGGTATTTCAAGTTTATAAAATATTACTATTTTCCAAAACGATACTATTATGATAGTAGGAATGGGTCGTGGACCCCATTGTTATAAAGAGCGACAACTGGACGGCCGAGCGGGCCAGGGCCACTATTCGATAGTGGGGAGTCCTTAATTATCAGACTGTCAATAATTCGTAGGACTACGAATTTATAACAGAAGAAATATAAACATTTTAAGAAACCAAAATAATGGGATGAATAATATTGATTAACTTGGTATATTAAAGGAGGGTACTTTTGGAGGACCCTACCTTAAAGATATTTTATTTTGGGAACAAACAGATAAGATTTTATCTATTTTTACATATGGGATCACTTAAAAAGATGTGTAACATCTTATTAAAATGTCACAAAATATCAATACACATATTGAGTCATGAGAAATTGCTAATGAATTTACGAGATGACGTATTCTCATTTTTACCGTTACTTGAACAGTAAAATGCACGTTGAGCCACACATGGGCGGGGACCATCCGATAATTACGGACCACACATTACATTCATCTTGGTCTAGATAATATTTATATGAGGTTGTAAAAAAATGTTGAGCCATAAAGTTGGCCTTTCGATCAAACGGAGTCCCATTACCGGTATAGGTAATTAAACAGATAACAGCCCGAAATTAATTTCGGCGACCACGAAATTAAAGTGGGATAATATATATTCATTCTAAAGGCCAATATTAATTGGAAGAATGATATATATTTTATTTGACCCGATAAAATAAAATTTAATTAAAACAGTCCAGAAAATACAACTTTCGGGGCCGAATGTACACTTCGGGGCTTAAAGGGATGACCTCCCACATGGGTGGGGGCCACCCCACGATTTTGTCAATCAAATAACTCTGGATTGACTCATGTTGGGGCTGTGAGACAAAGGAAAATGGGGGAAGGACCAAACATAATGTGCAATGGGACCATTTCCCATATAATTGAAGAACAAAGCCAAAAAGATTATCATCTCACCCAACCACTCCCAAAATTTCGGCCACACACTCTCAAGGAGGAGGAGGAGCTCTGAAAATATCATCCTCCATAGCCATGAACCGAGCTCATGTTTGAAGGAGGTTCGAGGAAGAAGAAAAGCTTGGAAAAGAAGAGAAAAACTTAGTAAAATTAAGGTAATGACTTCATTAGTATTTTCCTCCTTCATTTTAATCTCATATGATTTTATAAATCATATGATAGACTTTTAAAATTGTTCTACACTTCTAGAGGTGTAGAATGAGGGTTTGAAAGATTAAGTTTAACCACGAACGGAGTTATGACCGGAGTAAGACCGGTTCACCGGAAAACACCTTCTTGGAAGGTTTTGACGTTTATACCACTTTTGGTTGTGAAACCTTGTTAGGAATTTTACCAAGGTATTCTAGACTTCTCAAGGAACCTAGGAGTGGCCGGAAAGTCGCCGGAGCCGCCGGAGTTTTCGCCGGAAAATTCAAAAGTCACCGGAGTTCAAACAAAGAAGATAAAAGCTTGCTAGCGTCACTTCAAGGTGAGTGGACGACTACGTGTCTTGTAACTCTTGGGTCAAACGTGGGATTACCTAAATAAAATCCTTATCATGATTTGAGAAATGATTAAATGGATTAAAATGCATGATTAGTCATGGTGAATATGAATTATGGAAATATTACATGTTTAATGAATAAGAGATTTATTTGTGGATTAATCATGAATATATCATTGTCAAATGTATAAAAATGCATACATGGACTATGTATGAGGTAACTAGAGTAATCTAGTATGTGAATACGTATAGAAATGTTTAAAAGTGTTTAAACATGTGATTAACTATAATGATTATAAGTTATGTGAAAATGGCACGATTAATGAGTAAAGGAATTATTAATATTTTTGATAAAGGATAATCATGGATGACTTAACTAAGGTAATTCAAGATGGTATTCTTGAAGGATTCAAGTACATAATCATACATGTCATTAAATTAAATCTAGTTATGAAGAATAAACTAGAACGAAATATATAAACGATTAATAAGTATGAAGTACTTATTAATAGTTGTGAGAAGACGGCTTTATGCTTCATAACTTTTGAGTGAGGCATAGATTACCTAATGTAATCAAGAATATATTTTATTGAATGATTAAAGATAATCAAGTATGTGTTATGCCATGATTATATGTAAAATATAGTTGAAATGCATGTTAAGTAAGCTTGATGATTTAAAATGTGATAATTAATTATGTATGATGTTCCAAGGACCCAAAAAGGTATTTTTGGATTGAGGAAGTCAAGAAGTACATGTGTATAAAATTTCACGTAAATCGGACTTCGTTTGTGCGGTCAAACGGGCGTTGACCGCCAAGTCAAAGGCTATACCCGACCGGGTATAAGTAAATACCCGACCGGGTATTAGCTAAAATCAGTTCCAGAGGCTACTGCCTCACCATACCCGACCGGGTATGGGTAATACCCGACCGGGTATTGGGTAATACACCCAATATGCAGTTTTTGAGTAAGTATGTGGGCCGTTCGGGTGGGACCCGTCCACATTGGTTGCTAAGGCTTCAAATACGGTTTAAACACTAAGACTTGGACTAGTCGTTAGTAAAGAAATTATAGACCACGACCGGGCGAGGTGCGTGGTAGATTATACATGGCGGGTGAATACCCGGGACCGAGTAAGGTTGGGTAAAACTCTGTAGGACCAGGAGGAGTCCTTTATACTCAAATGTTAACAAGGGCCCGTGTAGTCCTTGAGGTGTGTTAACCTCCAGCAAACTACACATAGGTAACAAGGGCAAATGCAGTCCTTGAGGTGTGTTAACCTCCATCAAATTGCATATAGGTAACAAGGGCCCGTGTAGTCCTTGAGGTGTGTTAACCTCCAGCAAATTACACATAGGTAACAAGGGCAAATGCAGTCCTTGAGGTGTGTTAACCTCCATCAAATTGCATATAGGTAACAAGGGCCCGTGTAGTCCTTGAGGTGTGTTAACCTCCAGCAAATTACACATAGGTAACAAGGGCAAATGCAGTCCTTGAGGTGTGTTAACCTCCATCAAATTGCATATAGTAACAAGGGCCCGTGTAGTCCTTGAGGTGTGTTAACCTCCAGCAAATTACACATAGGATGAGGGTGTATGCGTACTCCTCAAGGCGGGGTTAGCCCCGGGAATGTAAACTATGATTGTAAGGACGGATAGTCCTCGAGGTAGGTGAACCTCAAGGTAATGATTTTAAATGATTAAACGTGCTTGATCGGGAACGAGTTTCCGATAGGATATTTTCCTTGGTCTAGGAATTGATTTAAGCCATGTTCGTGATATGGGAGTCCGAAGGGCCCCCACAGTAATTATATTTTGATATCGGGTGAGTCAGCCTGCGGGTGACTCCACTCGAGGGTAAGACATGGGAAGAGTGAATTTAATGAGGCTGTTACGCCTAAATGATTTGAAATACAAATGGGCCCACGGGCCGGATATTTTACTCATATGTATATATGTATACATTTTGTTTGAAAGGGGGTAGCTAAGAGTTATGCCCATAATTATACTATCACCCTATTTTGAGGGTCTCACGTGAGAAACGTTAGTTACATTACATACAGTTTGCCCTCACCAGTACTTTTCTGTAGTACTGATCCCTCGGGGGAACCACCCTTTCAGGTTGAAGCTAGAGCTTACTTCCTGCACCCGTTGCTCGGGAGATCGATGGAGAGAAGACGTGGTTCGTGCTTCCTCTCGTTCCATTTTTAAATAATTAAATAATGCTCATGGAACTATTTTGACTTATAAATTAATGGAGCCTGCGAGCTCTTGTTTTACCCTTGTGTGGGTTCTTATTAAAACACTTATATTCCGCTATGTGTTTGATTGTATGTTGATGTTGTTATGTATGTTTACTAATCGGTTTTGGCATATGTATCTATCGGACGTCTTGTGCAATTCGGTAAGGATGAACTGCGGTTATTCTTATTGGGTTGTACGACGGTTGTCCACGTGGCACAGACGCGGTCTGGGGCGTGACAAATAACCAAGTTTTCTGGATCCGCCACTGAACGGTTCCATCCTTAGAACCGGACCGTACCGGACCGTTAAAAATCTCACGAATATATTACGGGTTTTATCAAATTACCGAACCGTTCCGGACTGCGCCCACCCCTAAATAATACTCCCTCCGTCCCTAAATGTTGTTCCAATTGCGGATTACGAAGGTTGACTTACGATAAAGTTAAATGATCCCTGTGAAAACTCGGATTATTTTTAGTAAATAAAATTTACATATTCAGAAACTACATTAAACCCGCTACAAAGTCTGCAAAAAATAATTCAACTTTTATAAAATTTTGATATAAAAAGTAAGAGTTTAAGAGTGATTTAAGTTGACCCTCGATAAGCGAAATGGAACTTTTTTTAGGGATAGAGGGAGTATAATGTGCGATAGGCGGGCATATTCACATGCACGTTGCTCTCTGTTGTGCGCCCGGTTGCAAAACGACGCACGCTTTATTCAAAACGACGGAGTGCCTGGTTTGTTTTTTTCTTTTTTTTTTTGCTTTTGTTGTTAAAAAATGATAATAACTTTTTTATTTTTGCTCCGATTTTTATAAAATTTATATCAATATTTTTTATTTTTCATGATCTTTCAAATGAGACCAATATTGCTTATGAAATTTTAAGAAATTATCGAACTATTATATTAATGAGTATTGGATTATAAAGAAAATCGAACTAAATTTAATATAGAAAAATAATTGTGTAAATCACAATTTATCTTAAAATTGTGTAAATCACAATTTATCTTAAAATTGTGTATATAAAAAATTTATTGTATTATGTATTTATACATGTGAGTTACATATTTTTATACGTGAAGTTACATAGTTTTACACGTAAAGTTACATATTTCTACATGCAAGTTACATATATATACACATGAGTTGCATATGAATTGCAGGGAGATGATAAGTTTGTCGATAGAAGATCGAATCTGTTTGGGAGTGGATCAGTGGTCTCAGTTACATTTGATAATTGAGTTACATTTTTTTATGTGCGAGTTACATCTTTTTATAAGCAAGTTACATATATATACACACGAGTTGCATTTGACCTGCCTGAACGCGAGTTACATATATTTACACGTAAAGTTACATATTTATACACGTAGAGTTACATATTTTTACACACGAGTTGCATTTGGCCTGACTGAACATGAATTACATATTTTAACACGTAAAGTTACATATTTGTACACGCAAAAGTTAATATGTTAAAATTACATAAGCAATATTGGTCTCATTTGAAAGATCATAAAAAATAAAAAATGTTGATATAAATTTTATAAAAATCGGATCAAAAATAAAAAAGTTATTACCATTTTAAAAAAAGAGAGAAATAAAAAATAATGAGGCCAACTGCTAGAACTACGTCGTATTAGTGGCGGGTGTACTATGCTCATAGTGGGTCGGTCCTATGGTATACGAACTGGTGGGGACTGCCTTCGGGTACTTGTCCACATCCTTTTCTCTCCCACGGACTCCACTATATCACACTTCCATCTTAATGTTATTACGTACACCTGTTACTTGTGGGTCTCACCTGCAACATTACACATTATTGCATCTGTCTTACTTATAGGTAGGCACTATTAAAATTCACTTACTCCGTATTTGTATAGGTACTATATTTTCTACTCGGTAATAAATACACTTTAAAATCTTCCCATTTCAAGAATAGGTAGATTATTGAGGGTATGATGGAAAAATAGTGGAATAATGTGATGAAATGTAGGATAAATCCAAAAAAAGTAGTTGTAATAGTGTATTATTTTAAGAATTATTGAGGGCGTGATGTGAAGATTTTTTTTGTTACGGACGAAAGAGGAAAGTGGAAAGATTTTTAAGTTACGGAGGGAGTATGACGTAGTACTAAGAAGGAATGGAGACTGACTCATAATTTTAAATTTGGTAACATCAAAATTGGGTGATTCTATTCATTTTGTTGAAATTGAAGAATTGAAGTTTTGATTGAAATGGCTTAATCCGTTGAACTGTGAATAAATCATATTCAAAATATATTTTATTGATTAAATAAAGAAAAATTTATATGAAAGTTAGTTTGAATGGTTCTCTATAGTAACTTTACTCCTGAAAAGTAATTCCAACCTTACTTATTTTGATTATTGCATAATTTGACGCACAAAATCAAAAGTTACGTGTTCGATGAAAACCTGACTCATCAGCCTGATAAACTAAAGAAAGCGTTACCAAACGAGCAATAATACAACTTTTATAAAAAAAAGTACTCCGTATGTTAAATATAGATAGAAATGTAAACAAACTTTGGCCGGTCAACAACTTGATAGTCTTTATTGGCATCCAGGCTAAGGTTTTAAAAATAAAAGGAATTACCCGAAATAGGAGTAAAAATACCTAAAAAATCAAATTAAGAGTATTGTAAGTTCTAGTAATTACTATCATGCTTGAAAAATAATATCAATATAGCATCAATAATGTCATATTAATGTTGGTAAAGAGAAATAACAACAAATAATATAGTACTCCGTATGATTTTATATCACAATAATTAAGTGGTATTTTAGGATGGGATATACGTAGTACTTATATGATACGTGCTCCAATGTTAGAATTTCAATTGCTTTTACTCCTTTTTGGACAATTTCCTTCAAACAGTGATTTACGTTATAAGATCATTTTACATATTCAACGCACAAAATCAAATATTGTATATTTAGTAAAAAAAAAGTTGATTAATGGAGCTGATAAGGTGAAAATATGGGCTATCACACATATTCATAATTGTGATATTAATTTAGATAAATAACGCTAATAGCAATGAAGAATATATGTACGTATTTCATGTGACAGTTATGATTAAAATGAATAAAGTTGTGATTAAAATTGTGTTCCTATTTACTAGGGTTGTAAACGAATCAAATAATTTGTGCTCGATTCGCGATTCGAATTCGTATAAGACGATTCGAATTCGGAAAATTCAAATTCAAATACAAATATGAATATTAAATTTGATTCGATTTGTTATCAAATACAAATAAGAATATCAGTGTATTCGATTCGAATATTAATCAAATATATTCGATTAATAATAGTGATAATATTAATAATAATAATAATAATAATAGTAATAACGCTATAATAACTTTTAAAAGATAGCAATACCCTAAAGTGTAGTTCATATATACATTACGCATACAAATTCTAAGTCCATTTGTAATAAATTAGAGTATAAATACGAATACAAATCGGAGTTTTGGTTCAAATGTCTTTCAAATACAATACAAATAATTATGTATTCGATTCACAGAATAAATTTAGAGTCGTCTGACTTTGATATATACAATTATCAACTTATTTCACACATTATAAGTGTAATTTCTAATATGTATATGTTAGTGTTTATTTCAAAAAGTTTGAAATAGATTTATATTTATTAATCATAAAATTGATTCACTTTAGTATATCGTGCACAATCTAAAAATGCATTGATCCATTGAATTTAAATTCTAAAAACACATATCAAATCATAGCGTACATTTACAACATAAAAAAATATAAGAAAATTTAATTTTAAGTGATATTTGACTAATATTTAACCTATGTTCAAATCTATTCGATATTCGTATAAGATTCGTTAACTATTCGTATTGTTAAACAAATACAAATACAAATCGAAATTAATATTCGTTTCATATTTGAATTCGAATTCGTATTCGAAAAAATTAAACAAATACAAATACAAAATCCTACTATTCGACTCGATTCGGTTCGTATACGACCCTACTATTTACTACCTAGTATGTTACTCCGTAAGTGATTGTGCTTTGTGGAATGATGGTATAAAAAAAGTACTATGTTACAATCGCATATGTTGTCTTAATTAATTTATGTGTTGCTAGGAGTAAAGTTACGTGTCCCTACAAAAAATCTTTTGGTATGTGACATTGTCTTATCGATAAAGAATTTGGAAAAGTAATTCCAATTCATGGTCCAATGTCTTTTCGTTTGGAATGTTTTTACAAATTAATTAATGTGATGTTGTTCTATTAGCAGCCCATGTCCTACACACTAATTAAATGCGTTAAGTACGATTGATCTAGTGACACTCATATACGTAGTATAAGTGATCACTTTTTTGCAAACAAGTTTTGTCATTTTATTCCATCTACTAGCTAGTTTTAAGCTACGTACTAGAGGTCGAGAGATACTTTTTGTACATGAATTGGTGAAGTATAGTATCAGAATTGGTGAAGTCCGATTAATCATGAAAAATTCGTGTACGTAACTATTCGTGATTACCCTTAAGTTGTGCACTTGTGCACTTCAACTATATACTACTTATAATATATCAATTCAGATGTTCATATTAAAATAATGTCAAGAGGCCAAATTTGACGATCGAAATAGTTGCAATGCACAAAACTTTTATATTTAATACATATTCCTCTATATCACTGTATTTGTCTCATTTTCTCTTGCACATAATATATGATAATTATTGTACATTATATAAAAAGTAAAAAGTTTTTGACAATGTAGCGGTACTGACGTACTCTAGCTGCTTCAACGGTGGGTTCCTTTCCAGAAAGGAAAATGTGAGAGATAAAATGATATGGAGGGAGTATCATTTATCATAATTTTCTAACAAGCTTCATTTATCATAGTTTTCTATTGGAGAATTTCGAGAAAATAAGACTAAACACAATGTGATATTTCAAATTAAGAGTATGTACTATGATCTTCTTCTTCCTTTTTTACTCCGGGGGGTCTAGGGGAGGGAGGGCTGGGGGGAGCCTGGTTTAATCAGGGCTCAAACTCACTCCATTGGGTTTCAAACCCTTACTAGTATGTGACCCGTGCGATGCACG